GATGACTAAGAAAATCATATTGTCTCAGATGAAGAAACACCCATGAAAGTTCTAAGTGTGTCCACTGCTTAACTGGGAGAAAAAAAGAATAAAGAAGGAAGCACAGCAGAATTTATCATCTTCTGATAACTCACTGGCACTTCAGTTTATTTTGAAGGTGCAGCTCTTAATGATTAGAGGGGCTTGGTGGGGAAATTATTCTTCAGGGTCTGATTTCCAGACCAGAAGACTCTTCAGGCAACTTTTAAACTGTTCCTTTCCTTTAAACATCAGAGAGTCTAAGGGATTGTTTGCCAGTAGAGGTTGTTGGCACCTGAAAGTTTGAGATGGTGCCCAAGTGAAAAGAACAAAGAAGGATTTTCGCAAGGCAAATTAAATTTGACCTTAGCTGGATCCCAGCTCCCTTAGGCTGCTGCTTGTGATTCCCAACAAGGGAAAAACCTGCTCCGGAATAATAACCCAAGCTCCTCATTTACAATGTTGGCTTTCTCTCCCTATCTTTACACAATTCTTTCTGTGGGATATTGGAATTGTTCAAGTAGAGTCACACTATTTCAGTTGCTATCAAAGGGTCTTCACTTCAGGCCTAAGTCCATTTACTTCTATTCCTGTACTCTCCAGTATTTTTTGAAAAGGTGTTTTTCCAGAATTGCATTTACTTTCATTATCTGTGGTTCTAAACTGTACACAGCAATATTTGTCCTTAATCCTGGTTGACTGACCATCTTTCTCTCTTTAAACTTGGCTTGCTTCAAGCAAAACCCCCACACTTCAGTGATTCCAAGAAGAAAAGAACATAACCACGAGGCTTCCCCAAAGATTTTGCATACAGCTGATTCACTTAACCTCAAAGATAATGAATTATGGAAAAATCTGGACTGCCTCCATGTATTCAACATTTTCTATACTAAAGCTGAGCCTTTTTTTTTATCATCTCTGGCGGAGTGTGGAGGAGACATGTTCGGCCAGCCCAAGTGTTTGTGGAATGTGTAATACCACTTGTTTCGAGACTTGATTATTTTGTCTGACTTGTTTCTAATGCCTTAGACTTTTGTGCTATTACAGGAAGGTGGAAAATTTCCTTTTTGGAGAGTAAATACTCCAAGGGGAAAAAACCAAACGAAAACAGAAAAACTAAAATAATCTTGTTAGCAGAAAAGCGCAATGATGCCTTTATTAAAGCTTTACTAAAGGAGTTGGAAGAAGTCATCCTAATAATTTAATGCCATAGGTTGCTTTGGGATAATGGACAAGGTTCCTAGTGAGAAAAGATGATTCTCTCTTCTATCACTTTATCTTTTCTACCAGAAAGAGCCTCTTCTCTTCTTGTGGCACATAGTGATGCCTATCACATGTTGTCTCTGCCATGGTATATAAAAGCTCTAAAATAATGTTCTCCATTTTAGATGGGAATGGATACCAAAAGCATTCTACCTAACCTAAAATGTTTATTACAATTGCATTAGCAAGCCCAAGTCTCTGATTTTTACTGTGCAACATTCCTACTATGTCAGCTGTTAGTAGCTGGTAGTTCATGGATTTGCTTTACCTCATACTTTCCAATGGTTGCAGTTTCTATAATGCTGAATTTTTCTTTTGTTTTTAAACTAACCTAATTTGGTATGCATTGTCTGAAAAATGGTCCTGTGTGTTAAAGTGGCACCCTGTTTTAAGTTTTTAAAACTTGTAAACACCCATCTTGGGAGTCATGCTTAATAAGATTTTCATGACCTCTTTTGTTACAGAGACATCCTCTTTCTTTCAGGCCTTTTGCATAGATGCACGTTTTTCATTATTCCATTTCTGAATGCATTATGGTTCCTGTAGTTCCTGCCCATTTTTGCAGACAGAGGGAAAGCAAGCTGAGATCTGTAATTCAGTGATCAGTGAGGGCACTGCTTGGCTTCATGGGGTTAAGGAGCTGGCTGGTGTACCTCACAGGCTGCTGCTGCACTCCATCGCAGCTGGATTTGTGGAGTTATTTTAGTGTATTTTTCTTAGTGTATGGTATGAATCATGCAGCAAAGGGTTTTGCTTTTATTACTGAAAAAAAATTAATTCTCAATTAAAACTTGAACCCCAAAGAATTCAGAATGTTAAATTGATGTGGCAACCTGTGGATGCTGCGATTGACTCTGGCTCACATACCTGGCGAGCAGAAGGAGGAGCTGTGACATGGGACAGTGGCCAACTCTGCACTTGGAGTGTGGGGCTCTGGGGGCTGTCTGCAGCTTTCCATCCTCTGCTCATTGAGAGTAATTCTGACCGGGTTTCAAATCGATACTCATTTTCCTCAGTTTCCTCATTTACTTGGGTTGCCCTGGCAATTCGTTTCTGTCAGTTTGTAGCTTCTAAATTCGAGCAAGCAACAGCTGTGAAAACAACTATTCTAAAATGTCCTATAATTCTACTGTCTTGTAAGTCAGTACAGTAGTAACTAGACTGTGCTGTGAAAAAAGCAACATTTTGATTACTGAAATAAAATCTACAAGGCATATGTTCAAAGCTAGAGATATTTCCATGTCGTTTTGATAATTTGAAAATTTCCAAGGAAGGAGAATGCAGTCTCCGTACTAAGAACATCCATTACTGACAGAGAGAGGTGAAATTAGTTATAAACTCTTTAATTTTATGAAATATCTCAAAAATGTTTCTGTGATATAATTCTGATATTCTTGATGCTGCACTATAAGATGCTGTGTAAATTCCTACCTAGTAACTCCAAGTCCTTCTCTACTGTGAAATTGGCTGTGATAGGTGATTGGTAAAGATAGTTAATACATATGTAATTAGTATTTTTATTTAGGTAAGCATAAATTCCATTTGTTTTGGGGAGACATGAGAAAAAACCTGTTACTCCTGTAACCACCTTAACATCAATTATGAAACTTTAGTTTTGCTAATTTTTTTTAATTAGTAGTTTTTATCTAATGTTTTTGACTTCTTTAGTATATTACCTTCTTTAAACAATAAACATCACTTTTTTATTAGGTATCAAAGTGAAACAATTTTCCTGACACAATGAGAAAACTGTAAGGAATGTTTTTATCAGTGTGTCAATCTATCTGCTGTCAAATTGCAAAGAGGAGAAAGCTGCTGCAAGCTATTAACAGCCTGGTTCTACAGGAAAGTTAAATTCTGAATGAGAAGTTTTCCTTGCTCTTATCCCAGATTAAGTGGGAGGAGAAATGCTTGAAAATGCTTATTTTCAATTCTGTGTCACTGTGTGTGGAGTAGCTACTCTAAGAGAAAACCAGACTGCCAACTCTTTTAGCAGTCTGAGAGCTGAATTTCTTCCTTGGAAATCAGAATCATATCAGAGGTATGGATAAAGAAATTATGCTGAATGTAGGGCATCAGCCATATTATCTATGGCATTAAATTATATCACTGGATTTATCAGTGGGTGGGTATTTGTGTCAAATGTATAGAGAGATGAGTTTCTGGTATGCTTCAGAAGATAATCTGTGATTTCAGATGACCAAAAAAAAGTTACTGTTCAGGCTTTTTTAGTTGCACAAACTCTTCAAAGATCAAGAAACATACGTCTGTAAAAACATGCTTGGGTTATTGAGACTTCCTTTAGATGAATTGTAAGCCTTTTGACTGAAATTTTCATGGCTTTGTAACACGTGCTGGAAAAGCAGAAAGCAAAATACTTCTGAGAAGTAATCCCAACTTCTTGTTACACATAGAAATTCTCATGCTGTGGCAGTGGTGGTGATTTGCAGGCTCTCTCACCCCAAGATGATGTGATCCAGGTGGTGGCTGCCTCTCCCAAGAGTCCAGCAAGGGAATGGTGGCCCTTCCACTTCCAGCCCCGTTTTTCCTGCTGAAACCAGCCCCCAGCACTGGTGTGGGTGCTATTGAATATTCCACACTAAAGCTTCACCTCCTTTTTCTGTAACTGTAACGCTCAGACGCAGACACCTCTGGGAGGCAGGTTTTGGCACTTGGAAAAAGGAGGGATTTGGCCGGATGGTAAAGAGAAAAGTGCTTTGGTTCTGAATTATGCTTTATCCCACTAGCCCGTGTTTCTGTTGCCTATTCAGTGGCCCAGGAGCTCATAAGCAGAACAAGCTTTTTAAAGTCCTCTTCCATGTGCCTTTAGGATGTCTAGTAGGTACTTGTAAAAATAATTCTCATACCCCATACTGATGTATGGTTAGAGCAGAGGTATTTGTTCTGTCTTTGATAGGAGCATGACTGAGAGGAGAGGCATGTATGGCCCAAGGGGAAATTTTAGGCTTGCTGTAAGGTTTCATTATCTGCTGAAAGGTGTTGGGAAAGCGCGTGATTAATACTTTTGGAGAAGGGTTTGAGAGGGACAGTCACAGAAGATAGCCTATGCGTGTGGGGGAGTGTGTATTTTATGTATCAGTGTGTGTTTGTAAGGAAGAGGTAAAAAGTCTGAAATTTTTATTGTAGCTAACAAGGGTGAACTTGTTTAGAAGCTTTTTTTTTCCCTGAAGATTTTTGTCTGAATTTAGCAAATATCTTGAAAAGGCAGGTGTGATTACCTGAGAATACCACTCCCATTCAATCAGTGCTGTTTAGGAACAAAAAAGTAGCTTGGAGGTTGGGAAAAATACAGTTAGAAGAGAGAGAAGTGAATGCTTGTCAGTTCCATCAGACCAAAATTTGACAAAGGCCTTTGATACTTGATTACTTAAGAAAACTTTTTGAAGTTAACTGTGCTCACTTGCTCATAATGTACAAGGATGCAGCTGGCAATTTTGTGTCATACAAATAATCGAATACTGATTAATTAAAGCTGCCTTGGGTCATGTAATTTTTATTTGGTAAAATGGCAATGTGCATCTAATGTATTACAAATGTAGTCAAATAGATTATTTGTTAATCAAAAATTAAAGCAGAGGGAATTTTCCTTTAATTATTTGACACCACAAAACTTGTGGGGTAGAGATGTACTGGTTCCATGAATTGGAAAGTTTAAAAGTTGCATTGGATGACTTTCGTTTATCTCCATCTTTCTTATTTTTGTAGGAAATTCCACTTATCTGGATGACCACGGACCACCCCCTCAAAAGGTAAGCTGCTGTTATTTTGTATTTGCTTTATCCTTACTTAGTTGGCTTTTGTTTCTGACTCATTGTATGTTTACTTGTGTGTCAAGCAACTCTGCTGAGTTTACATCAACAGCATGTGGCCTTTCCCACTTTTTACCCCGCAGATGTTTTCAGATGTTTGTAAGTAACTTGGGTTAAAATGCATTATGCTAATGGAATTTTTCTCATTGAGTCAAGGGAGATAGGGATTTAGTGGTTTTATCTGTCAGCACTTTCATGCAAAAAACCAACACCACAGTTGTAACTCATCTGGCAGGTGAAGATGGCCTTTGGCTGGCAGCATTTTCTGGAACTTGGGTTCTGCTGCAAAAACAATACTTGAAGCAGGTTAGTAGGATAAATTTAATGAATGTGAGTTATGAGCCCTTGTTTAGGAATAAGGTTCACTGTTCCTATCATATGGGACTGTGCTGCATAAGCTTTTCCCCTATGTCATCATGGCACCTCATGACATTTCAGGTTAGGAAGGGCAATGTGATAGTTTCTTCAAGAGGAAAAAAGTGGAAATAGGCATTTAGGGTCTCCTGATTTGTTTTTCTTTGTTTTACCCTGTGTTGGTTTGTTCTCTAAACAGATTTGTTACTATATTATGCCTGTCTTTCCAGCCTGCTAGAGTTCCTTTTGCACAGCACAGACCTGTACTGAAAGGGCAGATTATCTCACTTTTGTGGCCCACCATGGATGCTAGTGCAGCAGGTGACAGTGAGTAGTTAGAGAAGGGGTGGGTGTGAGGACCCACTACCTCTCGTTGTAGGTTGTAGCCCTCCCTCATCTCTGTTCAGCTAACCATGAAGTCACATCCTGAGCCACAGGCCTTGAGTTGAAGTGATCAACCACATGTGTGCACCTGTGTGGTAAAACAGTTGGCTTCTGATCAGAGGGGGATCAGGGGATCTTCTGATCAGGAGGAGGATAATGTGGAAAGCAATTCCACTTAGCTTAGTTATTAGTGAAAACAGACAGAAATCTGGGTTTTTTCACCTTTTTTTCCTGGGCAACAAAATCTGCAATTTTCAGCTGACATGCGAGTATTTGTACTTGTTAAAGTTCAGATGGCTCACTTGGAGGAATGATGTGCATTTGATTTTCTTCCTGTCAAGAAAAATTGCTCAATTACAAAAGTAAATGGATGTAGACAGAAGCGACGAAATCAACCTGTTGTGTTTATCATTGCAAACTGAGATAGGACACAGGTGGTTCTAAGGCTAAACAAATGCTTCACACTAAAATCTGTTTAGTGCTCTCTGCTTCTTTTAAAATACTTTTTTTTTCTTTTTTAATTTAGTACCAGCTGCTTCTCTTGTCCAGGAGTACAGCAGGCTGCATGAAATAATTACATTTGTTGTGTCTTCACAGTGAGCACTCTGCTTTAAGACTAAAGCAATGCTTATTCCAAACCTGTATTTCTCATGCTTGCATTAGCATTCAGAAATGATAAGCTGTTCTCGTAAGGAAAAGGCTTCCATCTAGATAAGAGTTTTTAACCTTGAAAACTTTATTCAGATTGTGGTACTTTTTCTTCAGGAATTTTGCATTACTCGTTAATGGTGCTGTGGATAGGATCCATACTCCCATGGGCAGTAGCAATTGGACAGATTTATCCAACCCAGACACTTCTCTGTTTACACTGTGAAAATATCTTTTGCCTGTCTAAACATGTAATTTTGGGCCATGTTCACATAGCCTCATCCAGCTGCAGCTCAATTGTCTGTAGAAAGGACAGCTGAATAGAAATCTCCACAACTGGTTGGTTGTGTAGATACTCTTTGATTAGCTACCTGCAGTCAGTGAAGTTTGTGGCCTTCCTCTGTAATCATCCTCACTCCTGGAAACTTGATGAAAAGCTCAGCAGAGTAAGAGGCTATATAGGATTGTGTAAGTTAAAAGTATTTTTGCTTTTTGAAGTATTTGCCCATGTTTCAAAAACATTGATAAAATATGGATAATTTTGATCATCCCTTGGACAAACCTGCCTATTCTTTAGTCGCTTGCTTTTCTTGTTTTGTTTTTTATTCCTCTGATCAAAATATGGGTGGGGATTGATAGATCCCCAGATAATTCCTGGTATTTGCTTGAGATCATGTTTTGAACTAAGATGCTCTTGCTTTGTAAGTCTCATGCATTGCATTTTTTGGCTAAGTGTAGTTATTTACCTTCTTACGGCTTCATATCTGAACTGTGAACTCTGTGGGTGTGAGTGAAATTCACTGTAATTGTCATTATCTTTCAAGTAGCCTCCATTCACATGACTTGATAGCTGCCTTTGTTTAAACTAACAGATGGTTAAGGTCTATGCATGCTTTAATTCAACATACAAAAAGGCATCAGAAGAAATCAATCCTGACTCCAACATTTAAAATATTTCATTATAAAATGCTGAAATGCTAGAAGTGGAGATAATGAACAACAGTGCATTGCCTGAGGTTGAAATGACTGGTAGCTAATATGGGCAGTGTGTAGTTAGCTGTAGGGGAAGGCCACCAGCAGTTGATACACACTGGACCGTAGCTGTTTTGCAGAGTACATTCCAGTGTTTGTAGGAAATCATATTAGTTTTGGATCTTTGTCATGGCTAGGTGCCAGAGGTTTGGATTTTTTTAAATACCTGTGTGGGGTTTTTTTTCCCCAGTGGAAGAGCTGAAAATAGCACTTGTTCTCTGAATAAGGAATTAGCATCATCACATTTCAGGAGAACAGGATACTGGTCTGTGTTTTTCAGATAAAGGTAGCAGCAACAATTTTCTCAGTGCAAGCAAAGAATGAAAGCCTGGCTCATTTCTGTTCTTAAGCATTGCTGATGTGGTTCTGATTCTTCTTGAAGACCAGGTGTGACAGCTTTTATGGTGTTCCCCAGTAAAGGTTTACTTGACTGTTGAAGATTAGTAGTGGTTATCCTTGCCAGTGTTATGGAGGTAATGTGTCTAGGTGTGGTGGTTTGGTCCTGGCTGGAGGCCAGGCACCCACCAAACCCTCTCTGTCTCTCCCATCCTCAGCTAGACAGGAGAGAGAAAATATAGCAGAAGGCTCATGAGCTAAGGACAAGCAGACATCACTCACCAATTATAGTCATGGGCAAAACATTCACCTTGGAGAAATTAATTGAATTTGCTGCCAATCAAAATCAGTAGGATAATGAGAAGTAAAACAAATCTTAAAACACCTTCCCCCACCTCTCCTCCCTTCCAACTTAACTTTATTCCCAATTCCCTACCTCTGTCCCACCAGCAGCACAGGGAGTGGGGATTAGAAACATGTTGTTTCTGCCTCTGCTTCCTCCTCAGGGAGAGGAGGCCTTCTCCCTCTCCAGTGCACAAGCCCTCCGATGGGAGACAGCCCTCCAGTGTGAGTCCTTGCCACGGGCTTCAGTTCTTCATCAACTGTTCAAATGTGGATTCCTTCCACGGGGTGCAGTTCTTCAGAAGCAGACTGATCCAGCCAGCATGGGTCCCCCCTGGAGTCACTAAGTCCTGCTGAGAAACCTTTTCTTCTCTCCAAGAGTCAACATGTCCTTCCAGGAACCTCCATGGGTTACAGGTGGACCTGTGCTCCTCTGTGGACCTCCATGGGCTCCAGGGGCACAGCTGCTTCCCCATGGTCTTCACAATGGGCTACAGGGGAATGTCATCTTGGGCATGTGGAGCATCTCCTCCCCCTCTTTCTTCATGTACCTGGATGACTGCAGGGCTGTTCCTCTCACACGTTCTCATGCCTCTTTTCTCTGGCCACAAATTACTTCTGCACAATAACATTTTTTCCTTCTTAAAAATATGTTATCTCAGAGACAATACTACCATTCCTCATTGGCTTGGCCTTGGCCAGCAGTGGGTCTGTCTAGGAGGCAGCTGGTGTTGGTTTCATTGGACATGGGAGAAACTTCTGGCAGCTTCTCATAGAAGCCACTCCTGCAGTCCCCTCAGTAGTAGCAGAACTTTGCCATGTATACCCAATGCACAAACATTGGCCACTCTTCTTTGGTCCTTAGGCACCAAAGACTTCAGAAGATGGACTAATCCTTGACTGTTCATGAGTTCTGAGACAGATCTCTGTGTGCTTCTCTGCAGGTAGATGCAACCTCCAGTAGCCCTAGCATACCTCTGGTGTTTCTGGTGTTAGTATGTGACAGATAGAAAGGGAATGCATTTGAGCAAAACAGCCACTGCTGGTGATTCTACACTGCCAGTGAAAGTTGACTCTTTCCTATTTCAAATCTCTGTCTGACTTCCTCCTGGCTTTTTGGTTTTTTTTTAGATAAGTGTCTGAAAGCATAAATTTTACAAAGTTTGCTAAGTGATAATTTGTTTATCCTTTTTCTGTAGATTGATGTTTAAGTGAGGCCTTGGTTTTCAAAAACACCTTTGAAATGGATGTGCGTTAATGGCTGATGGTGTTCACTGGATATATTTCATGCCTGAGCATTTCTGCAAATAAAGTGGGTGTATTTTGTTCCAGTATTTAGACCAGCCATTTCCTTATCAGATCGTCCCAAGATTTTTTTGTTCCATCCAAGATGGTGAAACTGACCTTGGAGGACAAATGATACGAACTTTATCAGACCTACAGTTGTTCTTGATTGAAAGCTTTTTCCTGAGAACTTGGCAAGAGCATCAAGATATGTCCCTGTTTCAGCAGAAATGACATATATTTGTGGGGGAGCTGTGCACATAGCACACAGATAAATTACACTGAAGTAGTCTATTCTCCTTTTCTTGATGGTTTTCCCTTGGGTTGCCTGTCATGGACCCAGTATATCTTTTGGCAGCTGCTTAGGTGTCAGCAAGACACTATGCTTAGCATGTGTGACAGTGCTTCAAAGCTTTAAATGAATACAAAAATGGATGGGGGTCAGGATCAGGTCAAAATGAATCTAAATAAGAGGCATACACAAAATAAATTTTATCTGATTTTATTGGTTTAAAGCTGGAAAGTGGATAAGTATTCTTTTCTCCATTCTTTCAGTTCTT